GTGTGATTCCACTGGCCAATGGGATTTAAATGAGTGTCTGCTGGAGACTTCAAGGAGAATTTCTGCTTCTCAGTATAGATACTGATATAGGTATTGTTCCTTCTTTCTTCTCTCCTTCCCTTCCTTCCCCTTTTCCTCCCCCCTTTTTTTCCTTCCTTCTTCATTACGTCTATAATGTGTGGATGGGATGTCTCAAGGTGGAGCGGTCATTTTTGCAACCTCAGGGTGCAGTGTACTCCAGGCACGGCAGAGAAAGAAGGGAGAAGCTCCATTCCTGACGTAGCTGCAGCGCCCTTGACTGTCCGCCTCTGGCCAGCTTGTTTCATAAGAGAAACAATGCCCTCGTGCAGTGGTGAAACCCCAAGAGTCAGGTTTCTGTTACATGCAACCAAATGAAATGTATCTTACATGTTAATGGGACTTATGTGTTAATGCAACGTCTTATATGTACGTTCTTATAGTTAAAGTCTGTTTTCAAGTTGTCTATCGTGTTCTGTTGAGGTGTCTGTCAAATACAGTAACAATGACACTTTGAATTATTGCTTTACTGGGCAATAAGTTTTGTTATTGGGTGAGGCTAATGCCCCCTCATTACCTCACTTTTTTCAAAATATCCTATCTATACTCAATTTTTATTCTTCCTCACGAACACTAGAATTACTTCTCAGGTTGGTCCAATCCCTTTCATCTTTTGAATGGAACTGTATTAAATGTATATAGTAATTTAGGAAGAATTCGTATCTTCATAACATTTCATCTTCCCATTCTCAGGCACGGTATACCTTTCTGTTTTCTTAATGCCCTATATCCGTGAATAAAGGTTTATAGCATTCTTCACATATAATTTCTGCACAATTCTTTTTATGGCTACTGCTAAGTATTTTATGCTTTTATTGCGATTGTAAATAGAATCTATTTTCTATTATATCTTATAACTGGTTATTGCTAGCATATGGAAAAAATTGATTTTCAAATATTTATCTTGTATTTGACTGCTCGTTTATCCTAAGAGTTTTTCAGTTGATACTTTTATGTTTTCTAGGTATATAATTGTATCATCTGTAAATAATGATCTCATCTTCTCCTTTCTAATAGTTAGTCCTCTTATCTCTGTTTACGTATTTTATTGCATGGAGCAGAAAAATATTGAATAAAAATGAAAGTAGTTATGCTGATTTTGCTCTTAATCTTACAGGACATCTATTGTGTCCCCATAAATAGAATTCTATTGTTTTAAGATAAGTATTCTTTATGTTAATGAATATTCTCCTATTTCTGATTTTTAAAGAGTTTATATAAATTAGTAATGAGTGTCAAATTTTATCCTGTCTTTTCTGCACTGATTGAGGTTATCTCTTTTTTTTTTTAACCGTTCCTTCTGATAGAGTGCATTATATTATTGGTTTTTTACATATAACTAATCTTTGAAATTCTGGGATAAATCGTACTTGGTTGTGAAAGATGATTTTAGGAATATCATTGCTGATTTTAATTTACTAATTTAAAATGATTTTTTACATCTAAATTCATAATTAGATTCATCTTCAATGTTAGCTTCAGGTTTACTAGCTCCATATAATGGAACAGGCAAGGTAAATTGAATTAAACTGAATTATGGACCCAAATCTTCTCTCCTCAGTGATACAGATGTACCACACCTTTGTCATGTCCTCGTAGTGGGCAGAGTGTATGTCCTTTGGCTTTGGGTTCAGCCATGTGACTTGCTTTGGTCAATGGAATGTGAGTGGATGTGTTAATAGCAGAAGTTTGAAATGTGTTGTGCTTATCTTCACATGATTCTGTCATCACTGTGAGAAAAATATACCCCAGTGGGTCTACTGGTCCATAAGATGAGTGACACATGGAACAGACTGGGGCCCTGGCTGCAGCTTGGACTCAAGTTCAGCCAAGCCAAGATGAAATCACTTGATGCCCATGTGACTTACAGATGTGTAGGCAAGAATGGATGCTTGTTGTTTTGAGCCATGTAGTTTGGAGGTGGTTTGTTACATAAGATTATTGTGACAATAGCTGACTGATATACTACTTCCCACCTTTTCTGGCCTATATTATTTTATTTCTCTCTAAAGAATTTTATTTAACATTTCTCGAAGGCAGGTCACTGGCAACAAATTCCCTCAATTTTTGGTTGTCTGAGAAAGTCTTTATTTCTCCTTCACTTTTATTTTATTTTTATTGAAGTATAGTTGCTGTATAATATTATATAAGTTACATGTGTACACTATAGTGATTCACATTTTTTCAAATGTTATACTCCATTTATAGTTATTATAAAATATCTATTCCTCTTGTTGTATAATATATCCTTGTAGCTTATTTTATACCTAATAGTTTGTACCTCTTTATCCCTTACCTCTATGTTGCCCCTCCCCTATTCCTTCTCCCCACTGGTAACCACTAGTTTGTTCTCTGTATCTGTGAGTCTGCTTCTTTTTTGTTATATTCACTAGTTTGTTGTGTTTTTTGGACTCCACATGTAAGTGATATCATACAATATTTGTCTTTTTCTGTCTGACTTATTTCACTTAGCGTAAGGCCCTCCAAGTCCATCCATATTGTTTCAAATGGCAAAATTTTGTTCCTTTTTATGGCTGAGTACTATTCCATTGTATGTGTATATGTATATGTGTGTGTGGGTCTGTGTATATATATGTAACACATCATGTGTATACATATATAAATAAATATATATATATTTATTTATATATATATAATACATCTTGTGTGTGTGTGTATATCACATCTGTATCCATTCAGCTGTTGATGGACACTTAGGTTGCTTCCATATCTTGGCAATCAATGCTGCTATGAACATTGAAATGCATGTATCTTTTTGAATTAGTGTTTTTGAGAAAGAAGAACAGTGCTGGAGGAATTGTGCTCCTGACTGCAGACTATACTACAAAGCTACAGTAATCAAAACAGCATGGTACTGGCACAACCAGACACATAGATCAATGGAACAGGATAGAGACCCCAGAAATAAACCCTCACACTTATGGTCAATTAACCTATGACAAAGGAGGCAAGAATATGAAATGGAGAAAAGACAGTTTCTTCAATAAGTGGTGCTGGGAAAACTGGACAGCTACATGTAAGAATGAAATTAGAACATTCTCTAACACCAGATATAAAAATTAACTTAAAATGGATTAAAGACCTAAATTTAAGACTGGAAACTATAAAACTGATAGAGGAAAACATAGGCAGAACACTCTTTGACATAAATCACAGCAATATTTTTCTGGATCTGTCTCCTAAAGCAAAGGAAATACAGGCAAAAATAAACAAATGGGACCTAGTTAAACTTAAAAGCTTTTGCACAGCAAAGGAAACCATTGACAAAATGAAAAGACAATCTACTGAATAGGAGAAAATATTTGCAAATGATATGACTGATAAGTGATTAATATCCAACACATATAAAAAGATCATAAAGCTCAACATCAAAAAAACAAATAACTTGATTTAAAAATAGGCAGAAGAACTGAATAGATACTTTTCCAGAAATGAAATGCAGACGGCCAACAGGCACATAAAAAGATGCTCAACATCACTAAGCACCAGGGAAATGCAAATCAGAACCATGATGAGATATCACCTCACAACTGTCAGAATGGTTACCACCAAAAAGAACACAAATAACAAATGTTGGCGAGATGTGGAGAAAAGGGAACCCTTGTACACTGCTGGCGGGAATGTAAACTGGTGCAGCCACTATGGAAAACACTATGGAGGTTTCTCAAAAAAATAAAAATAGAACTACCACATGACCCAGCAATTCCACTCCTGAGTATATATCTGAAAAAAACAAAAACACTATTTCTCCTTCTCTTTTAAAGAATAATTTCAAAGGATATGTACTTCTGTGTTGGTGATTTTTTTTTCTCTTAACACTTTAAATATTTCACAGCTTTCTCTTCTTGCTGGCATGGTTTCTGAGGAGAAATCAGATGTAATTCTTATTTTTGTTATTTTATCGGTAGGGTGTTTTTTCCCTCTGGCTTCTTTCAGGATTTCTTTTTATCTTTGATTCTCTGTAGTTTGGAAGTGAGATGCCTACGTGTAGTCTTTATGGAATTTGTCATACTTGGTGTTCTCTGAGCTTCCTGGATCTGTAGTTTGGTGCCTGATATTAATTTAGGGAAAGTCTTAGTCATTATTGTTTCAAATATTTCTTCTGATTCTTTCTTTCTTTTCCTTCTGGTATTCCCATGATGTGTATGTTATACCTTTTGTAGTTATCCCACATTCCTTGGATAATCTCTTCTGCTTTTTCAATCTCTTTCTTTTTGCTTTTCAGTTTTAGAGATTTCTATTTACATATCCTCAAGCTCAGAGATTCTTTCCTCAGCTGGGTCCAGTCTACTCATAAGCCCATCAAAGTCAGTCTTCATTCCTGTTGCAGTGTTTTTGATCTCTAGCATTTCTTTTTGATTCTTTCTTAGGATTTTCACCTCTCTGTTTACCTGGCCCATCTGTTATTACGTGCCATTGATTTTACCCATTAGAACCCTTAGCATATTAATTACAGTTGTTTTAAATTCCTGTCTGGTAATCCCACCCTTTCTTGTCATTTCTGGGTCTGGTGCTAGCACTGTCTCTTCAAATTGTGTTTTTGGTCTTTTAGTATGCTTTGTGATTTTTTTTTTCTTGATAGCCACACGTGATGTACTGGATAAAAGAAACTGCTGTAAATAGGCCTTGAGTAATGAGGTGGTGAGGAGTGGGGGGCAGGGAAGTGTTCTTCAGTCCTAGCAAGCCTGTGCCTCTGGATTGCGAGGTTCAGGAGTGTTTCCCAGATTTTTTCTCCAGCTTAAGTGAGACAGGATGGCTAGAGTGGGCTGGAATTGGGTATTTCCCTTCCCCCACATCAGTTAGGCCCTGGTTAACTAGTTTTTTGTTAAGGCAGACCTTGTTAAGAAGATCAGTGTTCTCTGGCATGTTTCAGAATGGTTCCTTTTCTCCTCCCCTGCCAGGAACTTGAAGGGATTCATCCCTAGCATTGGCTGTGAGATCCTGGTCGACCTCCTGGAGTCTACAGAACTGCAGTGGGTCCCTCATGACTGGGCCCTCCTGGAGTTTTGGCCTCTCAGATGTGTCCACATGGAGCCTCCAGCAATTCATCAATTACAGGCCAGGATTTCCTCCTCGGCACTGAACCCCGTGGTGGTTTCTACGCATGGGTCTCCTCTCTGGTAAGCTGTGACTCCCTACAGTCTCCTCTCTCTCTCTCTCTCTCTAATCTTAGGGGCCGTGGTTTCTCCTAAATCCTCACTTCACTTACAGATCCAAGAAAAGTTGTTGATTTTTCAGTGTGTTCAGCTTTTTACTTGCTGGGACATAATGGCAAATGGTCATACGGCAATAACAGAAAAACTGGCCAATTGAGTCCAGAAATTTATCCTGTACGAAAGAGAATTTAACATATGATAAAAGCAGCATTTGTTATCAAAGGGAGAAACTGGGTATTTAACAAATGGTAGTGTGACAACTGGGCAACCATCTGGAAAAAAGTTAGCTTGGATCCCTACCTTACTTCTTACCTCAAAATAAATTCCATCCATCTCAAACGTTTAAATGTAAAGAGCTGAAAAACAAGTTATTACAAAAACGGTTTAAAAAGAATAATATTGAGCTTTCTAAACAAGACACAAAACCCAAAAGCCATATAAAAGATTATTATATTAAAATAAAGAAAAAAATTAATATGCAAGGAAAAAATAGTGTGAGAAGACAAATAACATGCTAGAAGTATTTGTGACACATTGATCAATAAATGACTACTCATTATTGAAGTATAGTCAGTTTACAATGTTATGTTTATTTCTGGTGTACAGCATAGTGATTCAGTTACACATATATTTATACTTTTTCATATTCTTTTTCATTATAGGCTATTGTAAGTTATTGAATATAGTTCCCTGTGCTATACAATAGGACCTTGTTGTTTATCTATTTTATATGTAATAGTATCTGCAAATCCTGAACTCTCAATTTATCCCTCCACCCCCTACCTTCCCCCTGGTAATTGTAAGTTTTTTTCTATGTTAGTAAGCCTGTTTCTGTTTAGTAAATGAGTTTATTTGTATTATTTTTTAGATTTTGCATATAAGTGATATCATATATTTGTCTTTCTTTGTCTGACTTTCTTCACTTAGTATAATAATCTATACGTCCATCCATGTTTCTGCAAATAGCAGTATTTCATCTTTTTTATGGCTGAGTAATATTCCACTGTGTGTGTGCATGTGTGTGTGTATGGGTATATATATATAACACATCTTCTTTATACATTCATCTATTGATGGACGCTTAGGTTGCCTGCATGTCTTAAGCCAAGCTACTTCTTAAATCTATGGCTAAGAAGGCACTGCTTTGAAGTTACTGTCTTGAAATTCATGATTCTATCTTTGTGTTTTGTAAGTGAAGTCTGATGGGATAATGAGGGACTCACCAGGGGTTGGATGTCTGGGTCATACACCATCTGGCCTCTTTGCTTCCCAGGGGCAGGCAGGCTCTGGGCTGCCTGCTCCTGGACCCCTGGCACATGGGGAAGGTCTAGGGTCAGGTGTATACCCCACAGTGTCTTGCGGTGGGGCAAGGCAGTGGCTGTCCACCCCCTAGCTGACAGAACCAGGGCACTTTCATCAGGTGGCTTGGCAAGGGTCTCCTGCCCACCCTTGCTCCGAATACCAAGTGAATCTGGCACAGAAGTTGCAGTCCCTTGGAGGGTTGCCAAATGTTGTAGGTTGGGGCTGCAGGACGGAGATATTGCCCTCCCTGTCCTAGCTGGGCCCAGCACTGGACCTTGGCACATATTTACTAATCCCTGCCCCCTCGCCCATGGCCAGCGTGGCAGCTCAGAGTCCACTGAGGTGGGGCAGTAATGGGGGATGGTGGTGGGGGTATGGCCGGAAGGGAGAGGGGAATTGGACCATGGGAGCTTCTGATACAGTGATGGCAGGCAAATATTGAAGGCTTGATCACTCTCTGTTGGAATGATACCTGGTGGGTAAAGCCCTTGGGCCACAGTGGAATCTGGCAAGTCTGAAGGTCTAGAGGGTGAGGTTTAGTGAGATTGTAAAAATGCCTCCAACTCTATTCTTCACCCCTTGCTATATCCATGACCTTTGCCAGTGGTCTAGCAGCTCTTCTGATCAGGAGGTGGCTCTGCCTGCCCGTTCTTTGAATCTAGGCTTGCAACGTGCTTTGGCCAGTAGAACGTAGGGGAAGCCATGCTGTGCCAGTTCCAAGCCTGGGCCTTAAGAGGCTTTGGCCTCTCCTGCGTGCTGTCTTTCAACCATGCCATGGCTCTGAGGAAAGCCGGGGCTAGCCTCCTGGACACCCCATCACCACTGACAGCAGCTGGTGGCAGCTGCACCAGATGTGTACATCCTGAGGCCATTTGGTCCCCAGCCAACCTACGCACTTCTGATTGGAGACACAGGAGGGAAACTAGCCTAGAACAGCCACGCCCAGCCCACCTGTAGATGAGTGTGCGATGGCAAATGATGGCTATGTTAAGTCACCAAGATCTAGGGTGATTAGTCATGTAGCACAGCTAACTGACACAGGCTGCCTTCCCCATGTATCACCAGAGACTGGCTCATATTTGATGCCAGGAAGAGGCTTGCGGGCAGGAAGGTGGGAGTGGTCCATGGTTCAGAGCTGCTGTATGACAAGTCCTGGATCCCCGTTGGCTCTGGGGCTGGCACGTGGCGGGGTTACTCATGAGAGCGGGCCCTGTGCGTGGGGCCCAGCTGACCAGGGGGATCGGAGGAAGCTGTGAGGGGCTGAACCAAGCCCAGGGTGAGGCCCAGGTCCAGAGGACCCAGAAACAAGACCTCCTTTGTCTCTGCTGTGGATAAGGAGGAAAGGTGGGAGACAGGGACGTTTCCTTCCAGAGAAAGAGACCAGGGATGTGGATAGAGCAGGAAGGTTGGGTGGGAATTGGGCTGGAGGCAGGCAGCTGGGAAAATATACCTTAGGAGAAGACACCATCTGGTGGAGGGTGCAGGTCTGCTCCTTCCCTGCCCTCCCTGTTAGCTCAGAGAAGAGCAGGAGCCCGAGACGGCAGCCCTCCCCCAGGTCCGGGGCCCTGAGTGTTATAGGGTGAGACTGGGTGGCCTTGCCCGGCAGGTGGCTTAGCTTAACCTGCGTCAGTGGTTCTCAAACTTGAGTGGGCACCAGAGTCACCCCCAGAGTTCTGATGCAGGAGATCTGGGGAGGGACGTGAGAATTTACATTTCTAACAAGTTCCAGGATGACATGGATGCTGAGCTGAGACCACTCTTTAATCTAGGGCTTAAAGGTGGGGATTTGGCATCGTGGACTGCAAAGTTCTAATTTGATCCACTATGTGACCCCAGGCAAGTCACATAGCATCTCTGAGCTTTGACTTTCTCATCAAGAAATGGAGATGATTATCATCTTCCTTTCAAGGCTTCTTCTGGGAATTAAGTGAAAGGATGCATTTAGTGTGCTTGGCATCTTGGGGAGCCATTGAAAATTTGTGACTATTGTCCGTCTCCAGGGACTTTGGCATCAATGAGGGCGGTTTCAGCCTGGACTTGACTGGCCTTAGTGGGTGACACAAGGACAAATATTGGTCTGGCCTTGGGGTCGGGGTAGGGGTGGAGGAAGTCTGTGGATTGGTGTCTGTGCCTTGAATTGCATCTTCTACCCCAAGCTCCCTGTGGTGAGAGGAGGGGTCTGAAGCTGGATCTTCCCAGTTCCCACCAACAGAGCTAGAGAGAGGCATACCAGACACACAGATGCCCAGGCAACAGGGCCATCAGCCCAGGAGGCTGCTCCCATTGCTGGAGCTGGGCAGATCTGGGTTCTAGTCCCCGCCCCTACTCACTTCCTGGGCATGTTTGGAAACCCCTCTGGGCCTCTCTCTCCTTATCTGTAACAGCGAGGAAAACAGGAGTTCTGTCTGCGAGTTGCTGGCGGTTCCCAAGGCCGTGTTCCAGAGCGCACAGGGCACGGCCACCAAGGAGGCTCAGGAGAACTGCCTGGCACGCAGTGGGTGCTCTGTCGGTATCTGTCCAGTGAGTAAGGAGTGCTGTTGTCCTTTTTCCTCCCTGCCTCTCTCTCGATCACCATGCCACTCTGACACCACACAGCGACAGGGCCACACTGAGCAGACATACCAGTCCCCAGCCCCTCGGGTTCCTGCACCGCTTCCAGTGTCCTGGCTCCCAGAGCCTCCACTCCTGACAACAACCCCTGCCTGGCTTTGTGCCCAGAGCACAGAGCACCTTAACCAGTGACTGAAGGTGCTGGGGGTTGGGGTAAATGCTCTGATGTCCTTGCTCTGGTCAGAACACCAGGTGTGACCCAGCTGTCCCTGGAGCTGCCTTGCTGGACAGAGCCAAGGTTGTTGTGATGGTTTAGTTTACATGTCAACTTGACTGTGCCAGGGGGTACCCAGATATTCAGTCAAACATTATTCTGGGTGTGTCTGGAAGGGCATTTGGGATTAGATTAGCGTTTGAATTGGTAGACTGAGTAAAGCAGATGGCCCTCCCCAGTGTGGGTACGTGGGTGAGCCTCGTCTCATCAGTTGAAGGCCTGACTAGAAAAAAATAAGGCCAGCTCTCTCACAGGAGACTCTTCTTTGCCTGACTGCTGAGTTGGGTCATCAGTTGTCCTTGCCTTCAGCCTCAGACTGAAACATCGACTCTTCAGGCCAACTGGCTTCTGGCCAGAACTACAGCATCACCTCTCCTGGGTCTCCAGCTTGTTGACTGCAGATCGTGGGACCTGTCAGCCTCCATAATCATGTGAACCAGTTCCTTAGAATCAACCTATTACTTCTGTGTCTCTGAAGAGCCCCCCGAGCAGCTGCCCTCTGTGGGCCTTTGCTCACAATCACAGCCCCCTGTCTTCCTGCCCTGCTGTGTCCTGCCTCCAGTTTTCCATCCAAATGCAGCTCTTTCATGTGAATCCTCATTTCACATTCTTACTCTCTCCCGTTCACACTCACACACACTACCCCCTACTCCAGGCCCCAACCCTGGTCCCTTCAAACGCTCCCACTCCATTACTTGTGGTCACACTCATGCTTCCCCTCGGGCCAGAGATCCCTGCCTCAAACTCTAGCCTGACCAGGGGGCAAGAAGGGGCTGGCTCCCTTTCCTGGACCTACTGGCTAAGTGACCAAATACATGGAAGGGGACCCAGGTAAGCGCTGCTAGATGCATTGTGTGCATGTGTGTGTGTGTGTGTGTGTGTGTGTGTGT